CCCTCGTCACTCCTAGTTGCATCATTCTCATCAGACTGTGATGATCCCCTCGTCACTCCTGGTTGCATCATTCTCATCAGACTGTGATGATCCCCTCGTCACTCCTGGTTGCATCATTCTCATCAGACTGTCAGATCCCCTCGTCACTCCTAGTTGCATCATTCTCATCAGACTGTCAGATCCCCTCGTCACTCCTAGTTGCATCATTCTCATCAGACTGTGATGATCCCCTCGTCACTCCTAGTTGCATCATTCTCATCAGACTGTGATGATCCAGTTGCTCCTCCGGATTGAACACGTGCATCCATAAAGCCGTGACCACGTCTGCCTTTTCGTGCATCAGTATTCCAACACGCTGTGCAGAGCCAGCCAGTATGTCCGCCTGTTCATTTCCCAACATACCTGCATTTCCGGAGAAAAGATCCAGACAATGCTCCTCACCCTTGACCTCCGAAGCGAAGCATGCCACTCTGCACGACGCATGCCTGTCTCACATTTCTCAGCATTCTTCCGGAATCAGTAACAATCCCGCTGTAGTTATGTAATGTAAAGGAGTCAGACACATGATGCTAGTCTCGTATTCTCGCATCGACCAATTGGCCCTGGGTAAAACGTCCTGGATAAGACATGCAGCTACTTTGACCCTAAGCACGCCATGTCAGGGAGTCTCTGTGGCGATGTGGTCAAGCCGTTTGCCTCGCGCTCTGACTGTCGTGGGTTCATTTCACGGCGGCGCTGTTCAATTCACGAATGCAATTTTTACGGAGATCCCTGCCGATCGTCGCCGGAGCTACGAAGATCATGATCTTTGCGACGCTCTCGGCAGGCAGCTAACTGTTCTGGAGAGAGAGAGAGAGAGAGAGAGAGAGAGAGAGGGGGAGAGACAGGCACAGAGAGAGAGAGACCGAGCCATATGGCTCTGTGTAGAGTGGCAAGCATTACTTCAGAGGTCCCTGGTAGTTAGCATCTTTTGGATATTTTCTCTAGGTCATGCTGGTGTGTCGAGAAATGAGCATAGAGATAGACTGGTCGGTTCTGCACCGGTTGGTGTTGAACTGATGTATGACAAATTAGATGTTGTAAGGGCTGTTTTTTTAGCGATTGAATAGTGCGGAGGTACAGAGAGATGATTACGGTCTGAGTAGAATGACGCTGCGAGGAGTTACAAGGGGATCTGACCAGCGCTCAGTACTCAGAGGAAAGGCGAGACGGATTCAATCAGACAGTTACTGGTGTCATCGAAATTGGCACTCTTCGCTTGCTGCTGAAGATGGGGACAGAGCTCTTATTCGGGTGTCCCGACTTCTGTAATGTCGATTCTTAATTCAACATTCAACATTCAACCTCAAAGACTAGTTTAGCTGGGGTGAATAGAGGGCATATCATCATCACCATCAGGTGCCTTGCCGACTGCGTGGGCGATCATGCCTCTCCATAATCTGCGATCTCCTGCAGCATGTATCAGTTCGTGAGCCGTCACACCTCCATGCCATGCAGCAAGACTGTCAGGCATCTTCTCTCGTTGTCTTCCTCTATCCCTCCTTCCACAGATCTTTCCAGTGGTCACAACATGTTCTATTTTCCCTCTTCTCATAACATGGCCGAAACATGATGACTGTCTCCTTCTGATGTCTGTGATAGGTTGTCTTCGGGCTTCCTCTTTCAAAACCTCTTGGTTGCTCTTTTTAGCTGTCTAGGGTATTCTAAGCATTCTTCTGTAAAATCACATCTCTGAGGCCTCTAAAAATTGTTTGGCCTGCCTACCGATTGTCCAGGATTCACAGCCATATGTTAAAACTGGATGTATATAGCAAGCTCGTGGGTTCGCTCCCTGGCGGAGCCGGACTTTTTTCAGAAATGACCTTGGCTCTCAGGTCGACCCAGCCTTGAGTGGGTACCGGGTGCAGTCCCAGGAAAGTGAAGGCGGCCGGCGTGATACTGACCACATCACCCTTCTTGTGCCGATTGGTCTATAAAAATATAGGTCTAGCCCTATATGCCCTATACGCCTTAAGGCGTGGAAAAGGGTCCTTTACTTTTACTTTACTTACTTATGTAGCAAGCAAGAATTCTTTTTCTAACTCTCAATGACAAGGAAATATTGCACAAGATGTTTTTCATTTTATAAAATGCAGTTTTTGCCTGTCCAATTCTGAGGGCATATAGGGCTGTAAAATCGCAGAAGAAAATGCGTGCAAAGACATACTGTTAAGAGCCGATTTGAGGACATCAATTTAGATTTCACGTTTGTCTCAAAGTCATCAGCTTGGAGGTCACTGACTTCAGGTAAGATTAGTGATATAATGTGTAGTTTGTAAGACAGAGCGGCGTCCGTGGCCGACTCGTAATTCCAAAGTACCGCGATCGAAACCCACTGCTGGCTGCATGGATTTGTATCATGGTATGGGACGTTGCAGGTCGACCCAGCCTAAAATCCAGGATGGCTGTCGTGGGGAAGTAAAGACGGCCGGCGTAATGCTGACCACATCACCCACCTGGGGGCCGACGGTCTGTACAAATATGTGCTCTCTTCCTATATACCCGATACGCCAAAAGGCGTGAAAAAAGATCTTTACTTTTTAACGTGTAAGCTATAATAACAAGTACTTTTAATTAGGCTGCAGCTGGCACAACATCAGTATCAGAATGTTTTCTTGAACGGGGAATAGAGGGACTAAGCACGTGTGCATGTGACTCGAGTGCAGTAAGCTTATTCTTTCATTGATTCATTATTTGTATGACTTATTTCAAAAAATAAACTCAGAAAGCCACAATCGTTCCCCACACACACGAACAACAGACCAGATTCTAGTTTCATATTTTTTATTTCCAGTTAACGCTCGATCTGACAAAAAAACAGACGGTTTTCTATCCGCCCTCTTGAGGTACATGGACCAGCCTTTGTCTTTGAATGAAATAAATAATCAAAAACTTTGAAATAAAGCTGTGGCAACAGTGGCAAACTTCATGGCAATAACGATAACTCATGTCTGATGTGTCTCCAATTTTTTCCGTCCAAGTTCAAGCTTGTCTACCCCTGTCCCTACCGTTAATACCTTCCTGAACTCTTGTTTCTGAACCAATGTTACCTTGAACATGGCGAAAGAATTTTAGTTTATTAAGCATGATGGTGTGTATGACCAGTTTCATTCTTAGTTTAGAGTATTTTCTGTCCTGCTTTCTTTCATCCTTCCTTTCGTTCTTCCTCATCTTTCTTCTAATTCTTCTTCTTCTTCTTCTTCTTCTTCTTCTTCTTCTTCTTCTTCTTCTTCTTCTTCTTCTTCTTCTTCTTCTTCTTCTTCTTCTTCTTCTTCTTCTTCTTCTTCTTCTTCTTCTTCTTCTTCTTGTTCTTCCTCTTCTTCTTCTTGTTCTTCTTCTTCTTCTTCTTCTTCTTCTTCTTCTTCTTCTTCTTCTTCTTCTTCTTCTTCTTCTTCTTCTTCTTCTTCTTCTTCTTCTTTTCTTCTTCTTCTTCTTCTTCTTCTTCTTCTTCTTCTTCTTTTTCTTCTTTTTTTTTTTTTTCTTCTTCTTCTTCTTCTTCTTCTTCTTCTTCTTCTTCTTCTTCTTCTTCTTCTTCTTCTTCTTCTTCTTCTTCTTTTTCTTCTTCTTCTTCTTCTTCTGTTTATTCTTCTTTACAATTTAGAGTGCTCTAAGTATTTGTCTGTAACACTTTAGTGCAACAATCATGATTTTCGAATGTACAATTGACCAAAATACACATCCGTATCCTGTCACATGAAGGTCTTCATTTATCAGACTGTAAATTGTTTGCTTGTGTTTTGCCATAGACTATTATTATTGATGTTTATATACAAATACCAGATTTGTAAATATATCCTGTTCATTCGCTACCACTAAATACAGCCTTCTTCCTCCACTGCTTGTTCTAAACATTCCCTATCAAACACAACATGAGAAACGAATGAACCAATAACTGTTGAAACAAGCTATTAAATGGGCTGCGTCTTTTTCAACATTTAATTTGAACAACATAGTTTGATAAATTACCCGCAAATATTAATTTACATGTTATATACGTAACACGTGGATGCAACAGAAACTTATCAACCTCACAAGACACTCTCTCAGAAAGAACATTTCACACCTGTTTAAAAATAAAATCGAATAACTACAGACATTCTTTAATACAAAAGGATTAGCTGTCTGCAACTTTTTACAAACACTTCTGAATGTTTCAGAATTTGCCATTGTGATCTTGATTTTATATTCCTTGTGTATGTCGTACTAACAAATACCAATATGCTGTTTTACAACTTTTTAAAAAACTTGTCCAAGTATATTTTTACACACTATAAACTCAAACCTTCCCATTGTATGTCTGTTATATAAATTCAAACCTTTCCGTTGTATACCTTTCCATTATATTGTCTATCATATAAACTGTCAGCTTTTCATAATGTGCCTATCATATCAACTCCGACCTTTTCATTATTTGTCTATCATATCAACTCAGACCTTTCCATTATTTGTCTATCATATCAACTCAGACCTTTACATTATTTGTCTATCATATCAATTCAGACCTTTACATTATTTGTCTATCATATCAACTCAGACCTTTACATTTTTTGTATATCATATCAACTCAGACCTTTACATCTTTACATTATTTGTCTATCATATAAACTCAACCGACCCATTTTATATCTTTTGTCATGTAAATACGAACAAAATATTGCCTATACATTTTCAACAAAACGGAGGTGACACCTTACTAGCTTATATTCTTGACTTGTTTCGTTAAATTAAACTAAGTATTTCTTATTTTACTCCCACTTATAAATAATATACGAGGAAAAAGATGCCTTTTCTTTTTAATAAAACAGTTTAAACCTGAAAAAGACAAACGTGAGCAGGCGAAAACTGGCAAACTCATGCGCGCAGAGTCCCACTTCACATGCATCTGAGACATTCCAGTGTGTCGTGAGTACTTGGGATTCTAACAAGTCTTGCGATTACGTGTTTCTTGAGTTCTGAGTCATTCAATACAAGAGCGGCCATGCGCAGGAGTACAAGGCAATCTGAAATAATGTGAGAGAAGATGATTAGTTAGAATGTGTCACTGTTATTAGTATATTAACCTACAACCTTAGCCAGAAAGGAAAATTCACACAAATTGAACGAGTGGTTTAACCAGAGTCTTTATCAAGAAAAGAAAAATAATAAAATTCTTAAGTAATATCTTCCAGACAGAGTCAGGTGGACACTCGAAGAGCTGCTTTATTGTTTATTCAACCAAAATACAGGGAATCCGTTAGTTTCCCGGTAAGTCCAAAATTAAAGGGCTGATATGATTAGGGTTGTCTGGTAGTCTTAGTTTCAGCTTCATAGCAAACGGGTCACCTCACCTTTGCTCCGCTCCTGTGCTAACGAAAAACACACAGACGGTAGCCATCCGAAGTGCTAACACAAACAGCACAACATTAGAAATGCAGTTCATCATTGATGGTCGCAGAAGTCACCAACAGATCAGCAGTTGCACACGCGATCAATTTTAATCACATAAGGGCACCACCAACATTGCGACAACAGCCATCGCACTATTTCCTGAATCTACAATTCACACCATCACGTTGGTCACAGTCGAAAAAATATTCCACATAAAATCCACAGCTCACAGTGTCACGCCACGCATTCAACTCAGAATCTGGGCGACGAAACTATAGCCAATCTACAAATAGAGCAAACATGCATTCCTCACCCCCACACCCTCACCCCACCCACACCCTCACGCCACCCACACCCTCACCCCACCTACATCCTCACCCCTATGCATACGAAATTTGACTTATGTCACTGGATCACCCCATTTTCTTTTGTTTTCTGCCTTTGCCCTAAAAAATGCGATGATGTTGATATACAGTGCAATGATGTTTGTTAACAGTACAGTGATGTTGGTATACAGTATAATGTTTTGGTAGACAGTACAATGATGTTGGTATACATTACCATGTTTTGGTAGACAGTGCAATGATATTGATATTCAATGCACTGTTTTGGTAAACAGTGCAATGTTTTGCTATACAGTGCAATGATGTTGGTAGACAGTACAATGATGTCGGTATACAGTACAATGTTTTGGTAGACAGTGCAATGATTTTGATATACAATGCAATGTTTTGGTATACAGTGCAATGATGTTGGTAGACACTGCAATGATGTTGGTATACAGTGCAATGATGTTGATAGACAGTTCAATGATGTTGGTATACAGTGCAATGATGTTGATAGACAGTTCAATGATGTTGGTAGACAGTTCAACGATGTTGGTAGACAGTGCAATGATGTTGGTAGACAGTGCAATGATGTTATAAATGTCCAGCCAGTGTTTGTCGCACACAAAAAACCCTGATATAGAACGTTACCCAAGAGTGTTGTGTTAGCCCACTCATCCAGATGGCACTGAAACCTAGGGGCCTAGCCACTTCAGCCCCCCCCCCCTCCCAAATGTGGGGTTCCACAAAATAAATGGTTGGGGGAAGGGGGGGGGGCCTTGACTATTGTATTTGCTAGAGGCGAAAAACTTGCATAGACATTCTTTTCTGTTTTTTAAAATAAAAGTAAAGTAAGTAAAGATCCCTTTTTAGGCCTTTAGGCGCATCGGGCATATGGAAAGAGCACCCATATTTTTACAGACCAATCGGCACTCGGTGGGTAATGTGGTCAGCATTACGCCGTTTTTTAATATATAACTATTTTATTTGCCATTCAGTACATTTTCATTATTAATGACTTAAACAAGGCGTATGCCTCTAACAGCCTTTCTTATACGATTTGTAAGGGAAATAAGCACCCCCTCCCCGCCCTGTCCCCAATGGTTCCTTTGTTTCGACGACCCTGCACACTCACCTTCTGTATCTCTCCATCGAAGCTGAGCTTGTTGACTCCTCGGCCGATGTCGAGTCCACATGCCAGGCAGATGTTGCTGGGAGCTGCAGATGGAAATGGTTCACAACTACGGATGTGCTTCAGCGGCATTGGCATAGGGTGTCAATAACAACAATTTATGTGACCTTTCCTCACGGTCTATACACAGATACTAGTATTGTGTGAATACGCTGCTAGATACGTGTGTGTATTATTTTTCTTCTTCAAGAATCCAGAAACCATGAGCTGTTAACCCTTTGGCTCAGTGCTATGGGTATCGCAAACCTTCAGCCTTGATTCCATGATAGATACGGTAAATCTGGGAGAAATGTGGCTTTTCTGCCTACCACTGGGCGTGAACCACAAGGAGTGAGACCGTCACCCGGTCGCCGCGCAATCCTGTTAAGTCAACTGCGATAGCGAGCCGGGTATGTGTGTGTATAGATGTGTGTGTATGTATGTGTGTGCGGTTTTAACTTGTTCAGTCCTCTAGGTAATGTAATTCTGTATTTCTTTCGTTAATTTGTTTGTTTGTTTATTTGTTTCTTTTTTTTTTTTTCCTTATCTGTTTCTTTTTCCTAGTTTCGTGCTTTTATTCATTTGTTTTGATTACTTACTTTCTTTCATTCTTTATCCCAGGCCTGTGTATTTTTTTTTTTCCATCCTTAGTATATTTTTTTAATTTTATTGTTTTCATTACTTTCTTTCTATGGTTTTCTGTCTGCGTATTTCTATTGTTCTTTTCTGTTGATGACTTACTATCATCCTAGAAGTGCTGTCACTTCGCAGACTTAGCCAGCAGCAGCCACGAGAATGCATGTTTGACACAGGTGGAGTCTTGGTGACAGAGGAATTGGTGTAGCCACGAGTGTGGTAGTAGTGATAGCAAGCATTCTGATGACTGCTGTCATTGGGAAGATGATTGTTAGGTTGACGGTGATGTGACGGTAGTAGTGATAGCAAGCATTCTGATGACTGCTGTCATTGGGGGGATGATTGTTAGGTTGACGGTGATGTGATGGTAGTAGTGATAGCAAGCATTCTGATGACTGCTGTCATTGGGGGGATGATTGTTATGTTGACGGTGATGTGACGGTAGTAGTGATAGCAAGCATTCTGATGACTGCTGTCATTGGGCGGATGATTGTTATGTTGACGGTGATGTGACGGTAGTAGTGATAGCAAGCATTCTGATGACTGCTGTCATTGGGCGGATGATTGTTATGTTGACGGTGATGTGACGGTAGTAGTGATAGCAAGCATTCTGATGACTGCTGTCATTGGGCGGATGATTGTTAGGTTGACGGTGATGTGACGGTAGTAGTGATAGCAAGCATTCTGATGACTGCTGTCATTGGGGGAGATGATTGTTAGGTTGACGGTGATGTGACGGTAGTAGTGATAGCAAGCATTCTGATGACTGCTGTCATTGGGGGGGGGGGGGGATGATTGTTAGGTTGACGGTGATGTGACGGTAGTAGTGATAGCAAGCATTCTGATGACTGCTGTCATTGGGGGGATGATTGTCAGGTTGACGGTGATGATAAAGAGCATAATAAAGATGATGATGATGCTGATGGTGGTGGTAGTAAGGGTGATGGTGGTGAAGATTATGATGATGATGATAGTGGTGGTGGTTATGATGATGATACAGAAAACGATGGTTAAAGGCGATTATGCTACAAGTGTTAAGTATGGACTTTTATACAAATGAATTAGCAGGAAATCATAGCAGCAGAGATAAAATGCCCTGCAAGACACGAAGAGCTAACACCGAAAGAGACATTTTATTTGTAAACACAAAAATGAAAGAAACAGAAGAAACCTAGGTCTGAGTTAAGTTACCATTAATTAATTCAAGAGATACAGAGGAAATTATCTGGCCATCTGAAGAGGCTGCTTCGTATCAGCTGCCGTAGAGCAGGTGATTCAACTAAGATTATTCAGAGACCAAAATTGTGAAAATCCCGAACACCCCAGGCCAGAGTGCCTAGGCCGAGCATAAACAGATCATTAAAACAATACATCTGGCTCTATTCCACAGGCCACCTGCTAGACCTTCGCGGGCCAGATATGGTCTGCGGGCCACCAGTCGAACAGCCCTACTTAGAGAGTCACGGTGAAGAAATATAAAAAGCACTGGATAAAATAACACGATTAAGATTGAATGATATTTTCAAGAAGAGCAAAAGAAATTAAAACTAAAACTAAACTAAACATTTTAATTCTAATGTCAAATCAGTACTGTTGTGTGGAGAGGAAACACGGAGAACAACTAAGGCAAATATTTAATAAACTACAAACACTGTTTAACTGATGCCTGTGCAGAACAAAGGTACTGAAACAGTCCTATAGAACCACTAATATATAGCTTTGGGAAAGAACTAAACAAGTTATAGTGGATCAAGAGGTGACTAAAAGACGCTGGCGTTGGAGAGGACATAAGTTGAGAAAATCCGAGAGCAATATTACTAGAATGTCTTTTGCTCTTGAACACACATGGGTATAGAAATACAGGAGAGAACAAACACACGAAGAAGGGAGCTAGAACGTGACGTTAATAAAATGGAAAGAAAAAAAAAGGGGTGGGGTTACTGCATGCGATAACGCAGGACAGAACGACTCGGCGTTAGTTGGTTGAGTACCTATGCTCCATTTAGGGTTAGGAAGGAGGGGGAGGAAGAAGAAGGAGAAGAAGAAGAAGAAGAAGAAGAAAAAGAAGAAAAAGAAGAAGAAGAAGAAGAAGAAGAAGAAGAAGAAGAAGAAGAAGAAGAAGAAGAAGAAGAAGAAGAAGAAGAAGAAGAAGAAGAAGAAGAAGAAGAAGAAGAAGAAGAAGAAGAAGAAGAAGAAGAAGAAGAGGAAGAAGAAGAAGAAGAAGAAGAAGAAGAAGAAGAAGAAGAAGAAGAAGAAAATAGTTTCGAGAACAATGTTACAAAAATGAAGACCAAGCTATAAAACGTATTGGAAACACAGACGGTCCTTACCTATCCTCCTCCCCCCCCCACCCCTCCCCTTTTCTCCTCCTCCCCCCACCCCCACCCTTTTCTCCTCCCCACCCATTCGTCCCCATCATAACATTTCGTTAATGTATCTGGCAAAAGAGAATGATGATAAAGATGATGAAGACGCCGACGATGACGGTGATGAAAATGACAATGAGGTGATGGATTCTTACCTTCCGTCTTTGCGATATACTGAGTGTTCTTGTCTTTGATAGAAAGGGCAAGAACTGCATTATCGTAAGACAACACCAAGTCCTTGAACTCATCTTTGTTCAGTCCCTTTAATAAATGTAATAAGAAATGAGTAAACACAAAACAAAAGCTGCCTGTTGAATTGATTAGAAAACTGTTATTATAGTAAAATATTGAATAACAATGATTTTAAACTAAAATAGCGGTTCTAAAATTGTGGGTCGCGACCGAAAAGCACAAATATCACAGCCTAGCTGTAAATTACAATACAACACCATAATATAGCAACCACTATCGTAATTACGAACGCAAATGAAGAAAAAGTAGTTGAAGGAGGAGGAAGAGGAGGAGGAGATTCTAAGATTCAAGAACAGAAAAATTGGACACTTACTTTTGTTGGAACTTTAACTTCTGCTACCTGGCCACGTGACGACCTGATCTCTGCAAATATGAACTGATCAGTGGCTGAAATGTGCAGACTGTTGGCGTTGCCGCAGGTGAAACCGGAACTGATCAAAGTCTCACCGTAAGGGCTGAAGGTGTCCAGTTCACGGAACCTGACCAACAGTCAACAACATGTCAGAAATACAATGTCATCCAGTTGACAGAACTTGACCAACAGTCCATAGTATAACATACATACAAAGTGCCTAATTTACGGAACCTGATCAACAGTCAAAAACATATCATAAATATAAAGTTCTCAGTTCATGCGGTTTCGAAAAACCTCTGCACTTTGTTTTAGCCATCCTTTATTTTGCAGAATGCAGCCTTCTATGCTAGATCTAACTTGAAATCTTCTTCTTCTTCTTCTTTTTCTTCTTCTTCTTCTTCTTCTTGTTCTTCTTCTTCTTCTTCTTCTTTTTCTTCTTCTTCTTGTTCTTCTTCTTCTTCTTCCTTCTTCTTCTTCTTCTTCTTCTTCTTCTTCTTTTTCTTCTTCTTCTTCTTCTTCTTCTTCTTCTTTTTCTTCTTCTTCTTCTTCTTCTTCTTCTTCTTCTTCTTCTTCTTCTTCTTCTTCTTCTTCTTCTTCTTCTTCTTCTTCTTCTTCTTCTTCTTCTTCTTCTTCTTCTTCTTCTTCTTCTTCTTCTTCTTCTTCTTCTTCTTTTCTTCTTCTTCTTCTTCTTCTTCTTCTTCTTCTTCTTCTTCTTCTTCTTCTTCTTCTTCTTCTTCTTCTTCTTCTTCTTCTTCTTCTTCTTTTTCTTTCTTCTTCTTCTTCTTCTTTTTCTTCTTCTTCTTCTTCTTCTTCTTCTTCTTCTTCTTCTTCTTCTTCTTCTTCTTCTTCTTCTTCTTCTTGTTTTTCTTCTTTTTCTTCTTCTTCCTTCTTTTTCTTCTTCTTTTCTTTTTCTTTTCTTCTTTTTTTCTTCTTCTTCTTCTTCTTCTTCTTCTTCTTCTTCTTCTTCTTCTTCTTCTTCTTCTTCTTCTTCTTTTTCTTCTTCTTCTTCTTCTTCTTCTTCTTCTTCTTCTTCTTCTTCTTCTTCTTCTTCTTCTTCTTCTTCTTCTTCTTCTTCTTCTTCTTCTTCTTCTTCTTCTTCTTCTTCTTCTTCTTCTTCTTCTTCTTCTTCTTCTTCTTCTTCTTCTTCTTCTTCTTCTTCTTCTTCTTCTTCTTCTTCTTCTTCTTCTTCTTTTTCTTCTTTTTCTTCTTCTTCTTCTTCTTCTTCTTTTTTTCTTTTTTTCTTCTTCTTCTTCTTTTTCTGCTTCTGCTTCTTCTTCTTCTTCTTCTTTCTTCTTCTTCTTCTTCTTCTTCTTCTTCTTCTTCTTCTTCTTCTTCTTCTTCTTCTTCTTCTTCTTCTTCTTCTTCTTCTTCTTTTCTTCTTCTTTTCTTCTTTTCTTTTTCTTCTTCTTCTTCTTCTTCTTCTTCTTCTTCTTCTTCTTCTTCTTCTTCTTCTTCTTCTTCTTCTTCTTCTCTTTCTTCTTCTTCTTCTTCTTCTTCTTCTTCTTCTTCTTCTTCTTCTTCTTCTTCTTCTTCCTTCTTTTTCTTCTTCTTTTCTTTTTCTTTTCTTCTTTTTCTTCTTCTTCTTCTTCTTCTTCTTCTTCTTCTTCTTCTTCTTCTTCTTCTTCTTCTTCTTCTTCTTCTTCTTCTTTTTCTTCTTTTTCTTCTTGTTCATTAATCGTTTCCTTCACCCATTTTTTTTAAATTTTCTATAAACTGTGAATTCTCTTAGTGAGACTAGCAGAATCTACCATTTGTATCTTCGGTCACTATATTTTTGGAAAATCTCATTGTAGATTCATGAGCATCGAAGACTTGGTCCTGATACGGACCTCATCCATCGAATATTGCTAAGTCTATGCATGTATGGATCTAGCACTAATACGGCCGATGCACCAGTGGCGTGAAAGAAGCTCTTCACTGTTACTGTAAGCTGGTGTCTGCTGCTGGGCAAGAGGAGTCTTACCTGAACTCAAAGGTAAAAGGTTCGTCTCCACCCTCCATGTGGTTGACGCTGACATGGATAGCACTTCTGTTGGCCAGGATGATCCCGTAGGAGCTTTTCAGGACGTCGTAGACACGGATGCCCTCCTTGGTGCCCTGGTCTATGGCTCTCAAAGTCTGGCCGTCGGTAAAATCGAAAACTCGGTCAGCAGGGCATGCTGGAAACGGAAAAACACAACTAACGTTCCAACGGGCTGATATATTGGTAGGTAAAGTGGGTGAAAACTGAAGTAAAGTTGGCAACGCGGTTTATAGTCATATATTATCAAGTCAGCATACAAGCAGATAAGCTTAAAGAAAGTATGATAAAGTTGTGTAAAGTGAAGTAAAAGTAAGGTAAGCTCAAATAATGTGAAGAAGATCGTACACGAAGAGTGTAGCCAACAGGTCAATCCTTCTCTGAGGGTCGTGGGTTAGGATTTGGACTGGGTCCTTCAATTTATATTTGCAATGTTTTCTTTCTTTCTTCTTTTTTTCTTTTGGTGAACCAGCGTCATTGCACACGGTTATAAACCATAAGTGCTCTGCCACTAGTACGGACAGCTGATAAGAATTGTCCGCCTGGGTCGCCGTTCGCACGTAACTCTGTAGTTACAGCGACGTTCCTCCACTTACCCCAGAGTATCACTCTGGTACCCATTTCCTAGAGGCAGGGTGAACCCCAGGAGCCGCCCGGTTTCGAACGCCGACCGTGGGCTGCAGCTAGTCGCAGCTGGATTTGAAAGCAGGCTTCTTATCGACTGTGCTAACGCACATGGTGACTGTCGCTAGAACCACTGTAGACAAGCTTTGTGTTTTACTGTCTACAACGCTTAATGACACTAGGGACAACAAACTGGAGTAAGTGCGATAAAACCTAACTCGACCAAGCTTATTTTCATATCTTCTTTTATATATATATATATATATCCCTAAGGACATTCTTTACAGTGAATTAAAGACAGAAAGAAGATGTCGAGGTCAATCTCTGCTACGATATTAAGATGTGTGCAAGTGGGACATGAATGATACAGGTATTGAGGTGGGTTCATGGGAACAAAATGCCATGGACCGTGTTGTGTGGAAAGGGAATATCAGGAAGGGAATGAGACTGAAGGAAGAAATGATTGCAGAAAGGATGAGAGCTGAGCGTCTGAAAAGAAACGTATTAAACACAAATCTTGACAACAATGGTCCTGAAATCCCATGCTATTATTGTTGAAGACTTTTCTCAACACAGGCAGGTCTTGCTAGTCACACTTGCCATCGCCATGGGCTGTGCGTCTCTTGCCTCCGCATGGCGCAATATAACACTATCGTCTGGAAAGACGGAAAGGTGCCAATGAATATATATATATATATATATATATATATATATATATATATATATATATATATATATATATATATATATATATATATATCCTTTCATGGGTAAACTGGTACATTTGATATACTGTTTCAATGATTGCCCATTTCTATTAGATATATGGTGCCAGTCCTATGCTACCAAAGAACAATCACTAGTCGATTAGTGACTAGGAAATTTACCTTTACTTTTCAAAATTTGGGTCATTTTGAAAAAAACTTCCTGGTGCGGATTCGAACGTATCATCACCAAGACAGGAAGTAAACGTGCAAGCCACTGAGCTACGCAGCTCTCGATTTGGGTGAGGTGTGAACTGTTACAGTGGCATGTTTAATAATCATACATAATGATGTTGGATTATATAATCCCTTTCTCTTTGCCTTTCTAGATAGAAAGAGCAGATCCTCCCTTAGACAACTCCACTTATACGAGTTAGTTAGTTAGTTAGTTAATTGACAGGTTATCTTGTCTGAGACAACTCCACTTATACGAGTTAGTTAGTTAATTGACAGATTATCTTGTCTGAGACAACTCCACTTATACGAGTTAGTTAGTTAATTGACAGATTATCCTGCCTGAGACAACTCCACTTATACGAGTTAGTTAGTTAGTTAATTAGTTAGTTAGTTAGTTAGTTAGTTAGTTAGTTAGTTAGTTAGTTAGTTAGTTAGTTAGTTAGTTAGTTAGTTAGTTAGTTAGTTAGTTAGTTAGTTAGTTAGTTAGTTAGTTAGTTAGTTAGTTAGTTAGTTAGTTAGTTAGTTAGTTAGTTAGTTAGTTAGTTAGTTAGTTAGTTAGTTAGTTAGTTAGTTAGTTAGTTAGTTAGTTAGTTAGTTAGTTAGTTAGTTAGTTAGTTAGCTAGTTAGTTAGTTAGTTAGTTAGTTAGTTAGTTAGTTAGTTAGTTAGTTAATTGACAGATTATCCTGTCTGCACGTCCAACAAGTCCATAAGCGTCCGGATCCCATCTTCAATAAATCCCTCAGCGTTCAGTGACTGATAACACCAGTTCTGTGTTGGTTTACTATTCTTCTTTGACTACCTGTATAGTCTTCAGGTTTGGCGACACCTCCTTCGACCTCTAGTTTTTGCATTAGTTTTAGTGTTGCACTCATGTGTACTCAACTCAAAACGAAATGTGGGACAAGTCCTAACCGATAGTTGTCGCACAGAACGTCCATGGGCTGAAAGATAAGGCAGGGGGTGGGGGGGGGGGGGGGGGTTTAGGGAAGCGGAATCGCTACGTTTAACCTTTAACTGAAGGGAAGGTTATAATTGTGACTAGGTTATGTGCGCCACATAAAATGACAGCAACGCAAGCCACCAAGCGCCATGGGAAGGACCCCTGCAGTGTTGATGCGACCAGTTGAAACAGACTCAAATATTGCCCGCCTGCGACAATGTCGTCTACCGGCGATCCCTTGCTTACCTTGATCCCTTGGGGCCGTGCAGTCGCAGTCCAGGATGTTGAAATCGTCTTGGAAGCAAGGCCGAGGAACCCAAATGCTACCACCTAACATCTTGACGTCGTAGCCAGTTTGATTGTTCCAGGTGGGTTTCTTTTGACACATGCCTGAGAAAGTGAAGGGAAGGACATGATACAAATGTGAGATAATACTGAATCATCGTATGTGCACATTATCATCGTTTATTAAGGAAATATGTGTAGACATTTACCAGCTACACTTCTTCTTCTTCTTCTTCTTCTTCTTCTTCTTCTTCTTCTTCTTCTTCTTCTTCTTCTTCTTCTTCTTCTTCTTCTTCTTCTTCTTCTTCTTCTTCTTCTTCTTCTTCTTCTTCTTCTTCTTCTTCTTCTTCTTCTTCTTCTTCTTCTTCTTCTTCTTCTTCTTCTTTTTCTTCTTCTTCTTCTTCTTCTTCATCTTCTTCTTCTTCTTCTTCATCTTCTTCTTCTTCTTTTTCTTCTTCTTCTTCTGCTTTTTCTGCTTCTTCTTCTTCTTCTTCTTCTTCTTCTTCTTCTTCTTCTTCTTCTTCTTCTTCTTCTTCTTCTTCTTCTTCTTCGTCTGCTTCTTTTTCTGCTTCTTTTTCTTCTTTGCATTTACCTTCTGTAAACTACAGAGGAAAGTTTTGGTTGTTCGTCTACCTCTAGACTTTGATCCTGTTCCAGAGCCTGAGTGTTGCACGCACATCCGTTTTACACATCTGATTTATGTGTATGCGGATTGTTGGTTCCTTGCCTCCGACTTCGAAGAAAGCTCCCTCAATAAGTCGACTCTTAGGCAGCTTGTTGGGGAGGCAGTGAGTCAGTTCTTGTTTTCCCTATTATGGGACCCGTTAACCCACGCTAGTCTCTTTACTGTAACTTCTGGTCCAGACGGACGTCATGAAAACAAGCAACTGATGACAACGATAACTCACTGCATGGCTTAAAGGGCCCGCACAGATCCTTGCAGGTTGGGTCGGGCTGGCAGCCTTTTCCAGGGACGAAGGCGTAGTTCTCGGGACAGCACTGCGGTGTAGACGTGCTGTTCTCGCAGTCCCAGTAGGCTCGACACGATCCACTCATTTTGTGTTGCTCGCAGGATTCTTGGCATCGGTCTGTGTGTATGTGGACAGCAAAGAGATAGCGGGTTATTTTACGTGACAGTTACACTGGAAAAATTGTTTTTTTATGTCATGTAATGAAAGGACTGCTCGTAATGTTACGGTACGTAGTGGGTAGGTCGCGTTAAAAAGTAAATGATGTAAGTCACACAATACTTAACTGTCAACACGCTGCGAGTCCCACACCTCCTCATAGCACAGTATAACACTATCGTCTGGATAGACGATAAGATGCCAATTTAGTATTCAACTGTAGGAAATATTGCAGTAGAGCACTCTGTGTTGATTTCGGCAATGATATAAAGCCTCGACCGTTCCATAAGCAACGACAAACTACTAAAGGTAACGTCGTCTAATAAAACAAGCAGCCAACAAACAAATTTCAAGAGCATTGTTGTGCGCCTGCTGGTGTGTCTTGTTTGCTGCTTCTGTCAGCTGTCAATAGTAATTATAGAAGACTGGGTTTTGATGCCTCTGGTGGCTGCCTTATGCTTTAGAAGCGTGTGCGAGCTGTTGAATTTTGCTGGGGACTGCTGTCTTATTTGAGTTTTCATATGTGAAGGCTATGAACATTTTGGAATATTGTCACTGACACGGGGGAACTGTGAAATTGTGCGAGTGTGTGTGTGTGTGGTGTGTGTAAGTGTGTGTGTGGGGGGGGGGGGGGGTAGTTGCAGTTAAGAAAGAAACCCCTATTGGCTGTGTGATATCCTAACAAGACTAAGAGCGTTAAAGAAACTGAACGGACTCAGAACTCACCGTAAGCACATTTGGCTTGGTCTGGCTTGGAGCAGGTCTTGGTGGCGGAGTTGAAATGCAGTCCCATGGGACACTGTCTGACCACCCCGAGGTCCAGGAAGCCTTGCTCATTGTAGTAGCACTGGATGTACTTGTCACAGTCCGCGGGATGGGCGACCACGCCGACACCGTTGGCCAAGTGCCCACTGTCGGCACACAGCCCAGTAGCTATCGCTGAAATTAGATGTTGTGCATTTAGTCACTCATAGACAATCAAACCAACACTCTAAAAATGCCCCCCTCCCTTTTTTTTCTTTTTTTATTCTATTTTTTGGCCCGTTTTTATTACTTCTTCTTTTTCTTCTTCATAGACCCCAGAACCCAGATCTCAGTCAGCCTGCCGAAAACATTGTGTTGAATGCCAAATAAATATAACACAATATCTGAAGTAAATTGAAATCTATAAACAAATACTTTCAAAGATAATTTCTATTCTTGGTAAAACTGTGCTGCTTCTTAGGTCTGTTATAAAAAAAGCCTCTTTATTTTTATATTGTATGGGGCAACTCACTGACTAAAGTGCCCCTTAACTTCCAACCATAGGATTATTTGACTATGAAATGTTTAAGGTGGCAAGGAGGACGGGGTATGATGAAAACTGAATCACTGCTTTATGGATTTTTTCCTATATAGTTATTAGAACCATACCCCCCCCCCCCCCATCCTTAATTAGGGAGCCCTTCCTCTTCCACCCCTATTTTCTGCTCATGCGGTATCCAATTTTTTTCTGCGCTGCGACGTGCTATTTCAGCATATATTCGACTTCTCGTTAGCGTTCCATCTGTCATATAGAGGGTCCTTTGCAGAACGTCGCTGTGAACACCATCTGCTTGAAAGATACTCGGTGTCTCGCCAGCTCTCCCGCCTCACGTACTTTCATACTCAAGGAGTCACTTATATCCTGTACCCATCTTCGTGTCAGTCGGCCCCTGCCCCTCCTTCCTGGTACCATGCCTTCTGCTATAATTTTTTTCCAATTCGTCGAGGCGCTAGATATGACCAAAAAATCTCAACTTCCGAGACAGGATGCTGTTTATTAGCCAGTCTTCCTTGATGTTAAGATCTTTCAAGAGGTCAGTTTTCTCCTTTTCTTTGTCCAAGATATTCTGAGTATCTTTCTATAGCATTGCAGCTGAAAAGCCCATTTTCTCTTTGTTAAGAGCTCGGAGATAGTCCACGACTCACATCCGTTTGTTGCTACATGGAAGATGCATGCTCTCACAATCGTTAGAGTTCACTGAATGTAAACTCCAGAGAAAATTCCTTGTTGTTCGTCCACTTTTAGACTTTGGTCTTGTTCTACATCTTGAGTTTTACCTGCACATCCGTTCCACAGATCTTGCTTAACTGTATGCAGACAACTGGTTCCTTGCCTCTTATGATTTCCAAGAAAACAGCCTATTTTTTAATTATTTGACGTTTACGATTTGCTTTTGTTAGGGCGTCTTTGGCTTTGACGTTTTGAACGCGCTTCGTAATACCGGGGTGCCGGGTTCGATCCCAGCTGCGGGCCGTGCTCCTTGCGTTAGTTTCGACAGTGGTATTGAGAAGTCGACAGTCTAGAAAGCAATGGCAAACTAATGGATGTAAATTTACCTAGAAAAACCACAACAGCCTAAAAATGCTGCGGTTGGTTTTGCAACGTCATGTAAAGGATACGCAAATAACTTTTTTGTTTTTGTTAGGGCAGCAGTATAAGTCATCCCTCCCCCCCCCCCCCCCCCCCCCCCCCCCCCCCCCCCCCCCCCCCCCCCCCCCCCCCCTCCCCCCCCCCCCCCCCCCCCCCCCCCCCCCCGCCGGACATATTGCGGCTCCGGCTCCCTGTTTGGTTTCCGCCATATAAACAGTAATCAATGAAAAGCGTTTGACAAGCTGACAAACTTACTGCCAGACTTACTGTCGTTGTCAACGACGCCATCGCACAGCCGGTCGCGGGTAAAGTTCTTGGTGGCCGCTTCCAGATCCGCGTATTGTGGGATGTTGTAGAAGAACTTGGGGCCACTAGCGTACCTCTGCAGAGTCAGCTGATCCAACGATCCGCTTTCCTTCACCGCAATCACAACAATTGTGTAGCCGAGACCTTTCAACCTGACAGATAAACAAAAAACTTGTCAATTAAAGTTAGTTCTTTTCAACATGATTTATTTCTTGGTTTTTATTTGAACCTGACAGATTAAAAAGGCATTTCAGTTCATTTTTTTTCTTTCTTTCTTTTTTTCTTTCTTTCTTTCTTTCTTTCTTTCTTTCTTTCTTTCTTTCTTTCTTTCTTTCTTTCTTTCTTTCTTTCTTTCTTTCTTTCTTTCTTTCTTTCTTTCTTTCTTTCTTTCTTTCTTTCTTTCTTTCTTTCTTTCTTTCTTTTCTTTCTTCTTCTTTCTTTCTTTCTTTCTTTCTTTCTTTCTTTCTTTCTTTCTTTCTTTCTTTCTTTCTTTCTTTCCTTCTTTCTTTCTTTCTTTCTTTCTTTCTTTCCTTCCTTCTTTTCTTTCCTTCCTTCTTTTCTTTCCTTCCTTCTTTTCTTTCCTTTCTTTCTTTCTTTCTTTCTTTCTTTCTTTCTTTCTTTCTTTCTTTCTTTCTTTCTTTCTTTCTTTCTTTCTTTCTTTCTTTCTTTCTTTCTTTATTCCTCCCTTTCCCTAGCGTTCACCGGATTTAAACTCCGGTGGAAAGTTCTGGTTGTTCTTCAATTTCTGGACGTTGATCTTGTTCCATGACTTGTGTTTTGCTTGCACATCCGTTTTACAGATCTGGCTTATTCGTGTGTAGAGTGTTTGGTCCTCGCCTCTCAGGCAGATGCACTCCGACTTAAAGGAAACACCCCCAATTAGTGCCCCCAAATGGGGTCCTGAGACCCACACAGGGATGTTTCTTTCAACCTGACACATCAACAAAGCAGCTAGTACCTTTATCATTGTTATTCTGTAGCAGACCCAATAGTCAGGACAGTTGATTACTTAGCAACTTTAACTTTTTCTATTGTATCTGGTCAAAAGTCTGGACGGGGGTGGGGTGGGGTGGGGGCGCCATTTGCTTCTGCTGGATTTATATCCTAAAAGTGGCTCCTTGAGTCACTGAGTGTGAATCTTTCAGGCTCAGATTTCTTAGTGGAGAAATTGAATCTTTTTTTTTTTTTTTGCTTTGAAATAACAATGTGTTTATCAGCAAAATTAGTTACTCATCGCCCGTCTACAAGGATCTCGTGAAGTATGTCAGTCTTGCTTGGCAACAGTTGTCGATTCGGAAATGTCGCTATAACTGTTTGTTCTCTGCTGATTTAAAGCTCCGGGGATAGGAAACATGAGAACAATCTAACTAGAATGTCTTTGCACTGGAACCCACAGGGATAAAGAAATAAAGTAAGACAAAACAACCACGGAGGAGAATGCTAGAGAGCAAAGTTAAAAAGATAGGGAGGACAGGGGAAGAGTTGTATGCGATAGCGAAGGATAGAACGATTTGACATGACTTGGTTGAGGGTTTATGCTCAACTGGGAGTTAGAAAAGCAAAAGAGGAAGAATATCAAAGTTATGCGAATATCAAATCATCATCATCATTATCATGTCCCGTTGTGCCATTACATGTCACATAAGGCTCAGTCTGTTTCTCTAGTCCGTTCTATCACGTGCAGTCCTTTTGGGATCGTAAGTGTAATTCCGTCCAGCATCTTTGGCTTCTCTCATCAACTTTCGTTTAAGGGTTTTTTTTTTTTGTTGCTATCCTCGCTTCCTCGGTCCTCTTATTTCTTATCTTAGTGCCTGCTTGGTGTTTCTATACCCGCGTCTTCTCAGAATGTGTCCAATTTAGTGCCGGCTTTTTGTGCTGTGACTGTTGTTACTGGTGGTTGTCCAGATATGTCTCTCATTTTTTTCACTCCTCTTGAATTCATCCTAAATGTTACGCTAATATCAAGGCTTTATAAATGTCAGGAGGAGAGTCAGGACAGAACCAATGCTGAACTTTATAGGTAGGCAACAAATCAAATGGTTTGGCCATGTAACAAGACCGGCAGCAGACAGGGCCCCACAGACAGCAATGGTATACAGAAACAACAGTAACAGAACCAGAGGTCGACCACGGAGAATGTGGCCCGCAAAAATATCCGAGACACTGACAAGTACTTTATACGAAGCGAACAGAAGGACCGGCTCCAGAGATCTCTTCCTGGCCTGACGTGGCGAGGCATTCCAGGAGTAGAGAAAAGAAGAAGATATAAATGTAACAATTATACAAATGTCATAAGAATCTCGTTTGTTACGTCTGTTACAAACCTACAACGTTAAAAGCAGGTGACAACCGGTCGACAACTTCGTCACCGACCCCTCCCCTCCCCAGATTCCCCACAAAACGAGACGAAAAAACGAGAAACTAACCTGGTCAGCTCTCTCTCCAGTGACGTCATGCTGGTCACCAAAGAGGATTCTGGGGCAACAATGGTGACGTAGCTCCTGTAGTTGGACACCACTGCTGGTGTCATAATGCTCTGGAGGGCTGGGATCAAAGCAGCGCCGGACTGCAAAAGAAACGGCTGGCTCAATGATACAGTTTTTTTTTTAAACTGTTGCATACATTATAGTGGCGTGGAGAGGACCATGGTGGAGGGTCCGGAAAACGAGGCGTAGGCAGACCAAGGCGAAGGGGGACACAAGACACAGAAAAAGCATTGGCTAAGTAGGCACATAGGGCTGGAGAACAAGCTAGAGAAAGAGAGACTTTCAGGCGTGCCATGACGAGAGTGACGTTCTGTACAAGACATGCTGACTGATGGTACGTTTATGATTAGGTGAACAGTGACTTCAATCGAACTGTTTTCTTCTTGAATCTTCTTCTTATTTTTCTTATTTGTTTTCTTATTTGTTTTCTACTTTTTCTTTGTCTTCTTCTTCTGTACTTCTTCTTCTTCTTCTTCTTCTTCTTCTTCTTCTTCTTCTTCTTCTTCTCCTTCTTCTTCTTCTTCTTCTTCTTCTTCTTCTTCTTCTTCTTCTTCTTTTAAATTCAGTTTAACATTTTTTGTCTAAAGTTTTTTTTTTCCTTAAACATCAAACGTCTTCTTATTTGTTTTGTTTCGTAATAATTTCTGTCCCAATTTTCTCCTATTAGATACTTCTAGTTTCGTGTTGACCATAGCTGTTTATAAGCTCTGTTGTCTTGTCCGTTGAGTTTTCTAGTAAGTGTGTTGTCTTTAGTATTCCATTGATAAAGACCGGCTGAAACTCTGCCATGTGTTTGTGCTCGTCTTACTCATTCCCTCCTTTGATATTTCTAGATAGTTTGTGCTCGTCTTACTCATTCCCTCCTTTGATATTTCTAGATAGTTTGTGCTCGTCTTACTCATTCCCTCCTTTGATATATCTAGATAGTTTGTGCTCGTCTTACTCATTCCCTCCTTTGATATTTCTAGATAGTTTGTGCTCGTCTTACTCATTCCCTCCTTTGATATTTCTAGATAGTTTGTGCTCGTCTTACTCATTCCCTCCTTTGAATTTCTAGATAGTTTATGCTCGTCTTACTCATTCCCTCCTTTGATATTTCTAGATAGTTTGTGCTGGTCTTACTCATTCCCTCCTTTGATATTTCTAGATAGTTTGTGCTCGTCTTACTCATTCCCTCCTTTGATATATCTAGATAGTTTGTGCTCGTCTTACTCATTCCCTCCTTTGATATATCTAGATAGTTTGTGCTCGTCTTACTCATTCCCTCCTTTGATATTTCTAGATAGTTTGTGCTCGTCTTACTCATTCCCTCCTTTGATATATCTAGATAGTTTGTGCTCGTCTTACTCATTCCCTCCTTTGATATATCTAGATAGTTTGTGCTCGTCTTACTCATTCCCTCCTTTGATATATCTAGATAGTTTGTGCTCGTCTTACTCATTCCCTCCTTTGATATATCTAGATAGTTTGTGCTCGTCTTACTCATTCCCTCCTTTGATATTTCTAGATAGTTTGTGCTCGTCTTACTCATTCCCTCCTTTGATATATCTAGATAGTTTGTGCTCGTCTTACTCATTCCCTCCTTTGATATATCTAGATAGTTTGTGCTCGTCTTACTCATTCCCTCCTTTAATATTTCTAGATAGTTTGTGCTCGTCTTACTCATTCCCTCTTTGATATATCTAGATAGTTTGTGCTCGTCTTACTCATTCCCTCCTTTGATATTTCTAGATAGTTTGTGTTGTGTTTAGTACTACCTGGGAGTCGCCGTGGTGTAGCGACTAGATGTTCGCTGCGAATCCGAAGGTCGTGGGTTCGGGTCCTCAAGAAACCTGGCTTTTTTTCTGAAATGATTTGGACTCCCAGGTCGACCCAGCCTTGAATGGGTACACGTGCAGTCCTGGGAAGTAAAGGCGGCTGGTGTGATGCGGATCATATCGTCCACCAAAGTTCCTATTTGTCTACACAATTTAGGTTTAGCCCTAAAAGTTAAATATACGTAAAGGTGTCGAAAGAGGTCTTTTACTTGACTTTACTTAGTATTTGCTGTACGCGATGACACGGTCACTGATCCATCTCTTAACTTTATCACCCCACTTGTATCGTTGTTTACCTCTTGCTCCCCCTCCCCCACCTAAACCATTATGTGAAGACAACTGTTGCCACATACCGGAGTAATTCCGTAGGGCAGCTGTTCGACGGCAGTGGCTGACTCGTTGACAGAGTTGAACCTGGTGACGTCAGTGATGATTCTGTAGGTGTCACTGTAGGCGATGAGACCCATTCTGACATCCGGGTTGGAGACACTGGGGTCCTGGACAGGGAGACAGATGTTCAATCATTATTGGGTTGGAGACACTGGGGTCCTGGACAGGGAGACAGATGTTCAATCATTATTGGGTTGGAGACACCGGGGTCCTGGACAGGGAGACAGATGTTCAATCATTATTGGGTTGGGAACACTGGGGTCCTGGACAGGAAGACAGATGTTCAATCATTATTGGGTTGGGAACACTGGGGTCCTGGACAGGGAGACAGATATTCAATCATTATTGGGTTGGGAACACTGGGGTCCTGAACAAGGAGACAGATATTCAATCATTATTGGGTTGGGAACACTGGGGTCCTGAACAGGGAGACAGATGTTCAATCATTATTGGGTTGGAGACACTGGGGTCCTGAACAGGAAGACAGATGTTCAATCATTATTGGGTTGGAGACACTGGGGTCCTGAAAAGGGAGACAGATGTTCAATCATTATTGGGTTGGAGACACTGGGGTCCTGAACAGGGAGACAGATGTTCAATCATTATTGGGCTAGAGACACTGTGGTGTAGGAGAGAGTTAACACACACAAAAATCATTCTATGATGGTACAAGTTGGGAGTCTTGGCTAGAGACAAAGATACAATCATTTTGTGACGGCACAGGTTGGGGTCACAGCAAGACAAAAACACAGTCATTGTTTAATAGCACATGTTGGGTTCACAGCAAGACAAAGACACAGTCACTGTATGATAACACGTGTTGGGGTCACAGCAAGACAAAGACACAGTCACTGTATGATAACACGAGTTGGGGTTACAGCAAGACAAAGACACAGTCATTGTATGATAACACGTGTTGGGGTCACAGCAAGAAAAAGACACAGTCATTGTTTAGTAGCACATGTTGGGTTCACAGACAAAGACACAGTCATTGAATTATGGTAGAGGTTAGGGTCCTGGTGTAAGAGACCAAGAGACAGCAATTATATAATGATACAAGTTGGGGCCCTTGAAGGAGACAACGCAGTTGGTTTGGAAGGTACCATATTAGACATGCTAATTTATTAGTAAATGTCTGGGACAAAAAGTTGAAATAAATAGCGCACATTAGGCTAATCTAAAATAAAAATTAAAAAATTAAAAACGTACAATTTTTTAAAACTAAAATGAACTTTTTTTTATAAAGCGAGTCAAATAATTATTGCACTAAAATGAGAAGAATATCTTCTCTTGTAGTTAATAAACACAACATGTGAAATACGTTTCCTAACAAAATGCATGTATTAAATAATTCTTTTTAAAAAAAATAATCTACTAAATAATTCTCCCTACCAAATTTATCTACAGTCTTATTTCATTAACTGAAAAAGGGTGGTCTTCATTGCAAGTTATATAATTGCTTCGTATTTGTATAGATAGCAACTAAATCATAAGGATAGATAAATCATAAGGATATTTCAAGCGATCGAAAGAAGAAGAATAAAATAGGGATACAGATAATAGCTCTTACTTTTTACAAAGCAAGTGGATTAGTCGAATTTGTTATTCATACGCCCCGTGCTGTTATTATCCGTGTTATAAATTTGTAGATAACTTTTGAAATCAGTAACCTTAATAACGTCGGCTCTGTGGCTAAGTCGATGCGAACGCTTCGTAATGCCAGGATGCCGGGTTTGATCCCAGCTGCGGGCCATGCGCCTTGCGTTTGTTTGAACAGTGGTATCAAGAAAGCCGACCGTCCAGTAAGCAATGGCAAACTACTGGATGTAAATTTGCCTAGAAAAACCACACAACAGCCAGGGGCTGTTGGGGTTGGCTCTGCAACGTCCTGTAAAGGATACGCAACTAACTAACTCTATTAACAGTTTATAAAATGGCTTTAATCGCAATATGTATTGAAAGGTGGCAAATTGTCAATGTACCCACCTGTACAATGTCAATCATTTTTGCGAGACCGTTCTTCAGTCGGGAGAAATCTCCGGTGAACTGGAACCGCGAAAGACGTTCTGCTGTCTGTGACACGTCAACCACATACACGATATCTGTCTTCCCCATGTGACAAGCTGTAGACGAGGAAAATATACATGCATGACATTTGTCATATATTGAATACCTGTGTGTCTCACGTAACAAGCTGCAGCAAGGAAAATATACATGTCTGAAGATGTCTATATATACCTATCTGTCTTGTCCATGTAACAAGCTGCAGCAAGGAAAATATACATGTCTGAAGATGTCTATATATACCTATCTGTCTTGTCCATGTAACAAGCTGCAGCAAGGAAAATATACATGTCTGAAGATGTCTATATATACCTATCTGTCTTGTCTATGTAACAAGCTGCAGCAAGGAAAATATACATGCCTGAAGGTGTCTACATATACCTATCTGTCTTGTCTATGTAACAAGCTGCAGCAAGGAAACTATACATGTCTGAAGATGTCTATATATACCTATCTGTCTTGTCTATGTAACAAGCTGCAGCAAGGAAAATATACATGTCTGAAGATGTCTATATATACCTATCTGTCTTGTCTATGTAACAAGCTGCAGCAAGGAAAATATACATGCCTGAAGATGTCTATATATACCTATCTGTCATGTCTATGTAACAAGCTGCAGCAAGGAAAATATACATGTCTGAAGATGTCTATATATACCTATCTGTCTTGTCTATGTAACAAGCTGCAGCAAGGAAAATATACATGTCTGAAGATGTCTATATATACCTATCTGTCTTGTCTATGTAACAAGCTGCATCAAGGTAAATATACATGTCTGAAGATGTCTACATATACCTATCTGTCTTGTCTATGTAACAAGCTGCATCAAGGTAAATATACATGCCTGAAGGTGTCTATATATACCTATCTGTCTTGTCCTTGTAACAAGCTGCAGCAAGGAAAATATACATGTCTGAAGATGTCTACAGATACCTATCTGTCTTGTCTATGTAACAAGCTGCAGCAAGGAAAATATACATGTCTGAAGATGCCTATATATACCTATCTGTCTTGTCTATATACCTATCTGTCTTGTCTATGTAACAAGCTGCATCAAGGTAAATATACATGTCTGAAGATGTCTACATATACCTATCTGTCTTGTCTATGTAACAAGCTGCATCAAGGTAAATATACATGCCTGAAGGTGTCTACATATACCTATCTGTCTTGTCTATGTAACAAGCTGCATCAAGGAAAATATACATGTCTGAAGATGTCTACATATACCTATCTGTCTTGTCTATGTAACAAGCTGCATCAAAGAAAAAATACATGTCTGAAGATGTCTATATATACCTATCTGTCTTGTCTATGTAACAAGCTGCAGCAAGGAAAATATACATGTCTGAAGATGTCTACATATACCTATCTGTCTTGTCTATTTAACAAGCTGCATCAAGGTAAATATACATGTCTGAAGATGTCTATATATACCTATCTGTCTTGTCTATGTAACAAGCTGCAGCAAGGAAAATATACATGTCTGAAGATGTCTATATATACCTATCTGTCTTGTCTATGTAACAAGCTGCAGCAAGGAAAATATACATGTCTGAAGATGTCTATATATACCTATCTGTCTTGTCCATGTAACAAGCTGCAGCAAGGAAAATATACATGTCTGAAGATGTCTATATATACCTATCTGTCTTGTCTATGTAACAAGCTGCAGCAAGGAAAATATACATGCCTGAAGGTGTCTACATATACCTATCTGTCTTGTCTATGTAACAAGCTGCAGCAAGGAAAATATACATGTCTGAAGATGTCTATATATACCTATCTGTCTTGTCTATGTAACAAGCTGCAGCAAGGAAAATATACATGTCTGAAGATGTCTATATATACCTATCTGTCTTGTCTATGTAACAAGCTGCAGCAAGGAAAATATACATGCCTGAAGATGTCTATATATACCTATCTGTCTTGTCTATGTAACAAGCTGCATCAAGGTAAATATACATGTCTGAAGATGTCTACATATACCTATCTGTCTTGTCTATGTAACAAGCTGCATCAAGGTAAATATACATGCCTGAAGGTGTCTATATATACCTATCTGTCTTGTCCTTGTAACAAGCTGCAGCAAGGAAAATATACATGTCTGAAGATGTCTACATATACCTATCTGTCTTGTCTATGTAACAAGCTGCAGCAAGGAAAATATACATGTCTGAAGATGTCTATATATACCTATCTGTCTTGTCTATGTAACAAGCTGCATCAAGGTAAATATACATGTCTGAAGATGTCTACATATACCTATCTGTCTTGTCTATGTAACAAGCTGCATCAAGGTAAATATACATGCCTGAAGGTGTCTACATATACCTATCTGTCTTGTCTATGTAACAAGCTGCATCAAGGAAAATATACATGTCTGAAGATGTCTACATATACCTATCTGTCTTGTCTATGTAACAAGCTGCATCAAGGAAAATATACATGTCTGAAGATGTCTATATATACCTATCTGTCTTGTCTATGTAACAAGCTGCAGCAAGGAAAATATACATGTCTGAAGATGTCTACATATACCTATCTGTCTTGTCTATGTAACAAGCTGCATCAAGGTAAATATACATGTCTGAAGATGTCTATATATACCTATCTGTCTTGTCTATGTAACAAGCTGCAGCAAGGAAAATATACATGTCTGAAGATGTCTACATATACCTATCTGTCTTGTCTATGTAACAAGCTGCATCAAGGTAAATATACATGCCTGAAGGTGTCTACATATACCTATCTGTCTTGTCTATGTAACAAGCTGCATCAAGGAAAATATACATGTCTGAAGATGTCTACATATACCTATCTGTCTTGTCTATGTAACAAGCTGCATCAAGGAAAATATACATGTCTGAAGATGTCTATATATACCTATCTGTCTTGTCTATGTAACAAGCTGCAGCAAGGAAAATATACATGTCTGAAGATGTCTACATATACCTATCTGTCTTGTCTATGTAACAAGCTGCATCAAGGTAAATATACATGTCTGAAGATGTCTATATATACCTATCTGTCTTGTCTATGTAACAAGCTGCAGCAAGGAAAATATACATGTCTGAAGATGTCTATATATACCTATCTGTCTTGTCTATGTAACAAGCTGCAGCAAGGAAAATATACATGTCTGAAGATGTCTACATATACCTATCTGTCTTGTCTATGTAACAAGCTGCAGCAAGGAAAATATTCATGTCTGAAGATGTCTACATATACCTATCTGTCTTGTCTATGTAACAAGCTGCAGCAAGGAAAATATTCATGTCTGAAGATGTCTACATATACCTATCTGTCTTGTCTATGTAACAAGCTGCAGCAAGGAAAATATACATGTCTGAAGATGTCTACATATACCTATCTGTCTTGTCTATGTAACAAGCTGCATCAAGGTAAATATACATGTCTGAAGATGTCTACATATACCTATCTGTCTTGTCTATGTAACAAGCTGCATCAAGGTAAATATACATGTCTGAAGATGTCTACATATACCTATATGTAGTGTCCTTGTAACAAGCTGCAAATACGGAAAATATGCATGCATGACAATATCTTCAGCGTATATGTGTTTTGACCTCGTAAACGCTGCTGGTATACATACATGACATCTACCACATACAAGACGACCATGTAACAAGCTGGGAACCTGGGAAATATACATACGTGGCAACGACTACCGCAAATAGAATGCGCACCTTCTTGCCTTTGTAACAAAACTGCAGATACGAAACTCGTTACACCACAACACTGACCACATCGACACGCATACGTTTGTGCATGTAACTAGCAGCAGCAGTGGTAACATTACAATATGCACGATTATATCGACCACATACAAGATATCTGTCTTGTCAAACGTCAACTGTCAATTAGAGTTAAACATATGTTCAGGAGTTGAATCAGTACCGTACAAAGCAGCTGAAACATAGAAAACAACTAAGACAGTTACTAATAAACTACAAACATTCTTTAACTTATGCTAGCTCAAAATAGAGGGAATCAAATGGTATGAGAGAATCACTAATGTATAGCTTTGGGAGAACTAAACAAGTTCAAATGGACCAAAAAGTGACGAAAAGACGTTAGTGTTGGATAGGACACATTGAGACACACACACACACACACACACACACACACACACAACACATATACTCACACAAAACACATATACACACAAAAAACTCATGCGATTGCAAAAGACAGAAGGACTTGGCGTAAGTTGGTCTATGCTCCACTGGAGAAGAGAAGAAAGAAGAAGAAGGCGTGCAGGTATGTAGCAGAACAGTGTTAGCAGCGACACCCAGTTATAGATATTCAAGAATGTAACAGAACAGAGATTCGGCAGGTCACACAATTATACATGTTTAAGAATTTAACAGAATAGAGAATCGGCAGGTTACACAATTATACATGTTCAAGAATGTAACAGAACTGAGATTCGGCAGGTCACACAATTATACATGTTTAAGAATTTAACAGAATAGAGAATCGGCAGGTTACACAATTATACATGTTCAAGAATGTAACAGAACAGAGATTCGGCAGGTCACACAATTATACATGTTTAAGAATTTAACAGAATAGAGAATCGGCAGGTTACACAATTATACATGTTCAAGAATGTAACAGAACAGAGATTCGGCAGGTCACACAATTATACATGTTTAAGAATTTAACAGAACAGAGAATCGGCAGGTTACACAATTATACATTTTCAAGAATGTAACAGAACAGAGATTCGGCAGGTCACACAATTATACATGTTTAAGAATTTAACAGAACAGAGATTCGGCAGGTCACACAATTATACATGTTCAAGAATGTAACAGAATAGATATTCAGCAAGTCACACAATTATACATGTTCAAGAATGTAACAGAACAGAGATTCGGCAGGTCACACAATTATACATGTTCAAGAATGTAACAGAATAGAGATTCGGCAAGTCACACAATTATACATGTTCAAGAATGTAACAGAACAGAGATTCGGCAGGTCACACAATTATACATGTTCAAGAATATAACAGAATAGATATTGGGCAAGTCACACAATTATACATGTTCAAGAATGTAACAGAATAAAGATTCGGCAGGTCACACAATTATACATGTTCAAGAATGTAACAGAACAGAGAGTCGGTAGGTCACACAATTATGCATGTTAAAGAATGTAACGGAACAGAGAGTCGGCAGCAATACTCAGTTAGAGCCTGCTTGCAGTCACAATCAAATAATTTGTAACAGTGTGTGTGTGTGTGTGTGTGTGTGTGGGCGCGCGCTCATTTTCATGTATGTGTGATGGGAGTGAACTTTTGCGGCTTAGATGCTTTTTTTTTTTAACGCGTTTTTGAATTTATTTCTCGATATATCGCAAGCTTTTTGTCCTTTCTCTTGTTGGCTTCTTCTTCTTGTGCCTTTCGAATTCTAATTTAATCTAGTCAATTATTTCTCTACTTCAAATCTTGTTGCCCGTTGCTGCTAATAAATCCGCAGTCTCTTCCATGTTTTCCTCCTTCCAGTTCAATCACGCCTCAGAATAAGAGGCAATTTTGTGTTAAAGCCCAACCCCGGATGTAGTTGAGGGCCCTAATTTAAAGTAACTATTGAATGGGGTTTCTGGGTCTTGTTTTTGGGTAATTCTCATCCGAATGGTGGCACTTTGTATCAGCGGGTGTTTATCACTCGCTGTGCGATCTTTGTGCGGTTGAAATTTCACGCTTGTTTTTCCTCACATCTCCCATTCGTCACCTCCGTCTCTGCATCTTTTCCCTTCGTGAATGGCCCAAGAGCATCTAATTATAGGGCCGGGTTCGAATATTCATTTTTACTATAAAGTTTTTTTTTTTTTTTTTTTTTTTTTAATGATTTGTTAAATCATACACTTAATTTTTTTTACGCCTATCCTTAGTCATCTCTTAAGACATGCTTGATAGGTTACCTTGCTACAGTTCATTTGTTGTCTCGTGGAACACACCATAGTGACAAAGATTTAGTTCCTAGCTCTTCCAGCTGAATCTGTTATAATTCATAATCTTATAACACGGTTCAGCATATTTCTTTGCATCCGCTTGTAACGACATAATGTGGTTGAAGACTTTTAAACTAAGTTTGCTCGGGGGTCAAAATGTAGGACAGTCACAGGTCAGTGGGCCGAAGACCAAGCATATTAAAAGGTTAGTTGCGTATCCTTTACAGGACGTTGCAGAACCAACCCTAACAGCCCCTGGCTGTTGTGTGGTTTCTCTAGGCCAGTTTACATCCAGTAGTTGCCCAGGCATATAAAGATCATTACAATACAATACAAATGGCAATGATTGACGGGCACCGTGCTAGTCACTCACCGGGTCAAAGTTAGTTGTGTAGCCCTGACTCAAGTTAAGTAAGTAAAGAACCCATTTCCCCCGCCTTTAGGTGTATTGTGGCATAGGACTAGACCTATATTTTATAGACTAATCGGCACTTGGTCGTTGTAAATTAACAAGTTAAGGTAAAGTCGGGAGATGTGAACAAGCGTCATTTATGTACAAACCATAAGTGCTCTGCTACCAGTACGGACAGCTGATTAGAAACTGTCCCCCTGTGTCGCCGTTCGCAAGAAACTCTGTAGCTACAGCGACGTTCCTCCATTTACCCTATAGCGTTAACTCTGATACCCATTTCCTAGAGGCTGGGTGAACCCCGGGAACCGTCAGGTTTCGAACATCGGCAGTGGGCTGCAGCGAGTCGCATTTGGATTTGAAAGTGAGCCTCCTATCGACTGCGCCTATCGTCCCCCTAGTGAGTGGGTGTTGTGGGCAGCGTCACGCCGGCTGCCTTTACTTCCCAGGACTGCATCTGACACCCACTTAAGGCTGGGTCGAACTGGAAGCCAAGGTCGTTTTTGAAACAAAAGTCTGGCTACGTTAGGACTTGAACCCACGACCTTCCAATCCGTAAGCGAGCGTCTAACCGCTCCGCCACGGTGACTCCCAGCCCTTGTGTAGAATATCCGAACTTCTTTAGCATCATGTAACTGTGGCAGTATCTAGCGTGAGTTTCATCTCAGACGACACTTGAGACATCAACATACAAGTTGAATTAAGAATTGACATCACAGAACTTGGGACACTCCCATAAGTGCTCCATCCCCGTCTTCAGCAGCAAGCGAAGAGTTCCAATTTCGACGGCGCTAGTAACTTATTGTATATCCGTCTCGCCTTTCCCTTGAGTGTTCAGCGTCCTGGTATACTCCTCAGACCGTAATGATCTATTTATGCCTCCGCACTGTTCACTCGCTCCCAAATAGCCGTCCCAACACCCAGTTTGTCATACATCAACCTACTACTGAGTGGTGCAGAACCGGCCAGTCTATCCGCCTGCTAGTTTCTCACCATCCTTGCATGACCTGGAGAAAATATCCAACAAACGCTAACTACCCGGAGCTTGACACGAACACACGATGTAATCAGTAACGCCTGGGACACTTACTTTCACAGAACCGGTTGAACTTGTTATAGACTTCGGGTATCAGCGGTAACAGTTGGGAGAAGGTGCTGATCATGAACCTGTGCTCCTCCAGCGGCCTGCTGACAATGCTGTCCATTAGTCCAGAGCTTCGATGACCGATTCCTGAAATAGAAGCATGTTTTGGATTGTTATATTTTTAAACCTTGAAATAAAGAGCCCATAAATATGCTTATTGTCTATTTCGTCGAGAAGGAAGGCGTGAAATAATGTACAAATAAATACTAAGTATTGAACTAAGAACACGAAATATACTAGGAAGTTCAGAAAGGAAGAAAGGACAAGGCGCGAACACGACAATTCAACGTTTTGTCAAAGCCTTTATCAACAAATAAATAAACGAGAATCACCAAGACGCAACACAAACAGGAGAATCGCCTAAGGAAAGATAAAGAATAGGCATGTGAAAAATAGGAACAGTAATAGCGCAAAACAAACAAATAAAGAAACGGGAAAATGTGGTGGGGGGAAAAAAAAAGGGGGGGGGGGGGGTTAAAATATGGACATATTTGCAAGATATGTAAACAAACTCTTCGAGACTAGTTCCCTTGAGCGCCTTAGTTACACTTTGTGGCTGTCATTTATTGGTCTTTACTGCAGTCAAACCTAAAAGAACAAATACCTGTTTTGGCCTGTCTTTAGGCGGTAGGCATAAAATAACCAACGGACGGAGGGGGGGGGAGGGAGGTCGAGAAGAACTGACATCATTTTCTAGAAAATATGTATGATACAATGAAAAAAACAATAATGCACGCACTGTGTTTGTACTGTAGGCATCAAATGATACTTTATAAGTACACAAGTTGTTATCTTTCTCTGAGATTTTGAGAAAACAAAATGGTGAAATAATATGACCATATCATACAGCTATCGGTTGTATCCAGTCTCTATTCTTGAAATAACATGACCATATCATACAGCTATCGGTTGTATCTAGTCTCTATTCTTGAAATAATATGACCATATCATACAGCTATCGGTTGTATCCAGTCTCTATTCTTGAAATAACATGACCATATCATACAGCTATCGGTTGTATCTAGTCTCTATTCTTGAAATAATACCTCGAGGTGTGTTGGGCATATAGGGCTAGAGCTATATTTTATGTAACAACCGGCACTCGGTGGGTGATGTTGTCAGCATCACTAAGACCGCTTTTACTTCCAGGGCTTCACCTGGTGCTATTTTAAGTCTTTGTAACCAGAGATATAAGGTCATTTTTGCAAATGTCCAGCTACGTTAGGATTTGAACCCACGACCTCCGGATCTTTAGGAATTTGTCCAGCCCCTATACCACTACGGCTACTCTATGTTTGCACTAAAAAAAATACGAGGTTTGCCAATTTATTTTTCTGGAAGATTGGCATAAAGAAAGTGCAAACAAAAGAAAAAACAAAAATCATTGTAAGCTTACCAACTCCAAAAATCTGGATACCCGCAGATCTTGTTGAGTCAGCTTCCTGTGTAGCTAGAGCCGCATTAACATTCGCATCGCTTGCAGACAGCAGAATAACAACGTTGTTGACATCCGGCCTGTCTCCGTTATTTCTAGTGAAGACAGTGGTTCTGAGGATCTTGAGTGCATCCGCCAAGTTGGAGCCTCCAGGACGGTACTGCAGGCTGTTGATGGCGTTGTTCATGAGAACCTTCGTGGTATACGTGTTCAGCTGGAACTGCACCATGGCCGAGTCGCTGTAGGAGACAACAGAAACCCTGATCTCTCCGCTGTCAACGTCGGCAAATTGTAGAAACTCGTGGACAAAAGTTTTCATCTCGTTGAAGTTTGTGGTTCCCGTCGTGGAGGAGGAGTCCAGGAGGAAGACGATGTCTATGCTGGCGTCTTGACACTCTGCAAATTACAGATTTAAATCGGTGCTTTTTTAATATTCTACCCCAAACAGGGGAAATCCACAGGTCATGGAAAGTCTATTATTTCATGGGGGTGGTACATAGGCTGCAAGCACTCTTGGGACCTAGGCTGCAATCTCTTGTGGGACGTAGGTGTGTTGGGGTTAGGGCCAGTTCTAGATGTTTTGGTGTCGTTAACAGCATCAGAAAACCGGGAAACCCAGTCTTACCACCATCTAAAGTGTTGGACTGCCCTGTGACGTCATCTGGGGTAGGATATTAAGGAAAGAACCTTTAAATCAACATATAATGAAGCACACAGTGAATCCTGTTCTTGCTGAAAGGCATAAACCACATTGTCGAGTTGCTGTACATCAGTTGATTGCCTGGCATGTTTCGCTGTATCTCGTCATGAGCATTTTTTCGCCTTGTACAGTATGCTTGTTCGTTAGCGGCGCGTGGGTATACTCTCCCCCACCCCACTCCACCCCACACACCCCAGTGGTAGCAGAACTCACACAGAGACGCTTTGTTATAAATATCACTATCTGATCAAATATCTGTGCTTTAAATATCACAATGTTATGAAAATCCGTAAGTTAATAATATCACTATGTTATAAATATCACTATCTGATAAAATATCTGTGCTTTAAATATCACAATGTTATAAATATCCTTACGTTAATAATATCACTATGTTATAAATATCACTATGTTATAAATATCACTATGTTATAAATATGACAATCTTCAATCACAATATAACTAAAAATGTACAAGAGCGTGGTTATCTTTAACACCGCACACGAAATACCACACAACTTACTCAGGTCGACACAGGCTCGGTTGGTTGCATTGTTGAGACTGCCTGCTAGAGTGGTGAAATCCTCAGTTAGAAACACCTGAAGATAGAGCCAATGTTAGACTTCATGCAGTGGCTTCTTTCGCTGTTCAGTACATTTTTCTAATATTTTCTTGATCTATTTTCATTATTCAGCTCATTAAACTAATATTTTCTTGTCGTCTCTCACTTTCAAATTATGGTACATAATTCTTGACTTCTTTCACTACTCACCTTGTTATATTAATATTTTTTTCCTTGACTTCTCTAACTACTCAACTTATCATTCTAATAATTTCTTGATTTCTTTCATTGCTCAACTCATGACACTTTCGTATCTTCTCTGACTATTCATCTCGAAATACTATTTTATTTACTCAACTTATCATACTTAAACGTTCTTGACTTTCTTCACTAACAAATAATACTACTCACATTTTCATTATTTTTTTTTGTTACACTACTCAACTCATGTTTACTGTTTAATTAATTTTAATAATCGGCTTTTTTTATATATATATATTTAGTTAGTTTTTGTCTGCCGTGACTGTCGTCTGTAGGACGAATATCTGAAAGAACAGACAACTACTAATTCCAAAAACTCCATTCAGACGTATAGCCATTTAGCACGGTTATATTTAGGCACTCTAAATGTTTACGAAGTAACCGCTAGAGGCGTGTCTGCGGGTCCGATTGATTTGTGTTCAAAATCCGACCGGATGTGGACTCTTCCAAAAGCCTAAATGCGTTCAGGGTATAGTCTTGGGAAGTAAAGGTGACCGGTGTGACGCTGACCGCATCACTCATCTAGTGCCCAGTGGTCTAGAAAATCTAGGTCTAGCGCCATATTGCCAGAACGGCTGAAGTGGTAGAAAAGAGTTGCTGTGCACACAGGTACAAGCCAACCTTTCGATAAAACGCTTTATCGATGAACAAAACCAAAACAAGAATAATCAGCTATAAAGATGTAGTCTCACAATCCCACACAAGCAGTGCTTTTTATTGCGGTAGGCAGAACCTGCACTTTCATAGACGTTTTGTGGTGAATACCTATACTTTTATTTTATTTTTTTTATTTTAGACATTTAATGGTGAGTACCTACACTTTTCTGTGTGGATATTTTCGATGATTATAGTGTGTACCGGTATATTTTGTGTGTGTGTGTGTGTTTGTGTGTGTGTGTGTGTGTGTGTGTGTGTGTTAAAGACACTTTGTCGTAAATACCGGCACCTTTCTTGGGCACAAGAAAAGCCCTACGCATACGAAAGCTAAATATAATTTATGTCTGTGTGTCTGTCAGTCTATCTGTGTATGTCCATCTGGTTTGTCTGTTCGTTTGTCTGCCTGTTTGCAGTATAGTCCGTCGTTGGCATCAGGTGCAAATCTTTTGTCTGCTAAAATAGTCATCTAAATGCTATGATTTCGTAGATAAGAATTCTTACCTGATACTCGTTCTGTGAAAAAAATAAAAAAAACAGAAAATAAAATTATGTATATATGTCCAAAAATAGCAGTCATTAACTGTTGCTTTTCATTAAAGAAATCAACAAGAAGCTCTGAGGGCAAACCAGGAAGAGGAAGACGAAGATAAAGAAATGACATCTGTCTGGCTGTTTTGTTCCAACCCCCTCTACCGTCTCTCAATGCTGCCAGATGGTGATTTCACACACTTCTGTTGGTTTCATGGCAAACTACTGGACCTAAATTTGCCTAGAGAAACCACACAACAGCCAGGAGCTGCTGGGGTTGGTTCTGCAACGTCCTGTAAAGGTACACGTTCAAGGTAGGAATAATCCCAGCAAGCAACGTGAGATAATACAAGACACTGAGATTAGCAATTATAATAATAATTAATGAAGTGTCTAATAATCAATATGTGATTGACAATCAAGGTCATAATGTGGGGGCATTAAGGCAATGTTTGCTTAAGGATATTCACAGGATGGAGTCGACAGAAATCTCACCTGAAAGGAATTAGTTTCATTTTTGTGTCAGGATACTCCGGGGCTGCAGGGAAAAAACGAGCAGATTGGCTTGCTGGCAGGGCCACGGTAGGTACAGGAAAAGCAATGCTCTCAATGAGGCAAGGGCGAGAAGATGATTCAGGAGATGACGTTGAATCGGCAACGCTCAAACGACTACACGAAGTTGAGGTCAAAAGAGATGTTGCTAAACATAAAAACTATACTGGTAGCCAAAGAAGAAAGGAAACTAACACAGAGCTGGTGTTATCAGTCGTCACAAGCTGGTCGATATGCTGAAGATGGGATCTGAGCGCCTATGGGCTTGTCCGATGTACAGTAAGGATAATCTGTCGATTAACTAACTAACTAACTAACTAACTAACTAACTAACTAACTAACTAACTAACTAACTAACTAACCAACTAATTAAGGCAATTTAAGAGAAAATCAATTTTACGTGAAACAACAAGAATGCAAATTTGTCCCCTCCAGAAACAACTGACACCCAGTGACTCACAGAGCGGTGTTTCGTATGTGAAACCCACAAGAGTTAAACCCAGACGCCCTTTTCAACAACACAATAATATTAGGGCAACATACGGTTATACTTTGGAAATTAGAAATATCAAGGTTATAGTATGAGGACTTTAGTGCCGCAAAATGATGATATCAAGGTTGTAGTATGAGGACTTTAGTGCCGCAAAATGAGGATATCAAGGTTATAGTACGAGAATTTCAATGTCACAGTATGAGGATATCGAGGTTATAGTATAAGAATTTTAAGATCAGTATGAGAATATCAGTGCTATTGTATAATATTGTCACTGTGACAATACGAGAATACCAAAGTAATTGTATGATATTGTCAATGTGACAGTACGAGAATACCAGTGTAATTGTATGATATTGTCAATGTGACAGTACGAGAATACCAGTGTAATTGTATGATATTGTCAATGTGACAGTACGAGAATACCAGTGTAATTGTATGATATTGTCAATGTGACAATACGAGAATACCAGTGTAATTGTATGATATTGTCAATGTGACAGTACGAGAATACCAGTGTAATTGTATGATATTGTCAATGTGACAATACGAGAATACCATTGTTATTGTATGATATTGTCAATGTGACAATACGAGAATACCAGTGTTATTGTATGATATCGTCGATGCGACAATACGAGAATACCAGTGTTATTGTATGATACTGTCAATGTCACAATACGAGAATACCAAGATTATAGTATATACACTCAGGGTCCCAGTATGAGAATGCCAAGGTGATAGTATGAGAATCTCTAGGTCACAAAATGAGAATACCAGCGTCACAGTAAGCGGGTGATGCAGACTATATCACAGAATCAGAAAGGGGCAAGCTGACAGAAGTAAGGCATGCGTCTTTCACTTCCGTCTGTAAGCAAGAATTTCTGCTTCTTCTTCCTCTTCTTCGTCTACTTCTTCTCCTCTTCCTCCTGCTTTTTCTGTATGTGCCATTAAAATGGCGACCGGCATGTTATATTTTGGTTTGCAACCAGGCTGCCAAATCTGAGCCTTTGGGTCTAACATGGGATTTCAGCAAATCTGCCATTTGTGGCATTTTTATTCGCAGGCTTGTCATTAGGGTAGCTTTCTATGTGACTGTCAGCATCATGACGATGGAGGTGATGATAGTGACGCAATTTGTCGGCTGGCCAGAATCATACAAGTGTTGCCATGTGTGTCTGCTGGGAGATTCTAAGAGCGTTTCAGGCTCTGTGGGCAGACAGTGGATTGAGTCATTGCAATGAGCATGTTCCGACGGACAAAGGCAGCCTCTGTACGCAGTGGACTGAGTCATTGCGATGAGCGTGCTTTGACGGGCAAAGGCGGGCTCTGTCGGCAGACAGTGGATTGAGTCATTGCGATAATAATGATCCGACAGGCAAAGGCAGCCTCTGTACGCAGTGGATTGAGTCATTGTGATAAGCAGAGGCAAAGGCAGCCTCTGTCACCAAACAGTGAATTGAGTCATTACGATGAGCATGTTTTGACGGGCAAATGCAGGCTCTGTACACAGTGGGCTGAGTCATTGCGATGAGTATGCTCCGGCGGGCAAAGGCAGTCTCTGTCCCCAAACAGTGGACTGAGTCATCGCGGAACTTAACTGTGCGTACAGATATCTTCACCTATGTCCCAGGGCAAGCAGGTGCTATTAGCAGTGAAAAAGCTGATAAGATTGGCTGGCTCTGACTTAGTTGCAGATGGCCGGCCTTTGGATCACGCCGAAAGTGTCCTCAGAGAGATGGGATGACTGTGGGATTTTGGGAGCAGCGTTTCCACATCAAAGAATGAGCGATCTAGAAGTAAAAATGGGCCAGCCAAGCATAAAAAGCGCACAGGACATACAATAAGTCTTGTTAACCAGCGTACGACTGACACTATTCCATGTAGTCACTTCATAGTTAGAGCCTATTTGTGTATGTGTACTGTGTTGTCCTTTATGTGCTGATGAAGGCTAATCGCCGCAACGTCCTTTGTTTGTTTATTGTGATCGATTTTGTAAAGCTAACATAAACTAATTGTTGTTTCTTACCAACTTTTTCTCTTCCCTATAATTTTCTACTCCTTATAAAAACTATTAACCGCGGGACGTTGATGAATGTGCTGAAGGGAAAATCTGAACACCCATGAATGTGTACTGGGTGCCGCGATGATAATCCTACTCATAACCCAAGGGCCAGTAGGTCTGTTCCCCCCCCCCCCCCCCCTTCCCGTCAGAATGGGGTCCAGTAGTTTAAAACAAAACCATACAATATGAGAATTCTGAAAATATTACCTGGTTTTTCATGCTGGCAATTTTTCTCATTTCCGTTTCGTCTGCTTGTTCGGTGACTCCGATGACATACAAATTGATACCCATGTCTTTTGCTTCGTTAGCTGACTGGATCGTCAGGTCCCGTTCTGTGGGTCTGTGAAAGCACATAGCTCAATCTTTTACTTAGTTCATCTCAAGAGTTTCATATTTTCGTAACACCGTCGTTAGTAAAAGTTCAAGATCCTTTTCACCCTTTCAAGCGAGTTCTGCATACAGGGCTAGACATATTTTATACACCAAGTTTAGGGTTAGATCAGTGTTTCCCAAACTTGTCTTAGTCGTGGCACCTTTTTCCACACAAAAAATGTGCCCACGGTGCCCTAACCTAAGTAAAAGTATGATTTTTCGTATGTAAAAAGTTACAAATAAAAAATAAAAATAAAACTGTATTTTTGAATATTTCGAGGCGCCCCTGTGAAGATGTCGCGGCTCCCCGGGGGCCGCCGCCCGCAGTTTGGGAATCATTGGGTCAGACTACGGATCAATTCATGACACAAATGGTAGTAACCCATAAATGCTTCTTTCTACTTCTGACACAAACCTGAGTCCGAAGAATCTCATCGCAGTGCACGAACTCCGTTGCACCGGCGAGGATCCTGAAATACTTTGGGTAGATTTTTTATTATAAATATTTCCCGGGCGGTGCCATTAGGCTACTCTTTTTCGATTTTCAACTGTCAAGGGATTTTTTTTACATGCACAGCAATATACACGAGCGTCCGATCTTACTGCACATAGACCAGGGGAAATTACCAGAAGTCCATGTGATAAAACCCTAGCCTGCACCGGGGCTTGAACCCGGGACCTTCAGAACTCGAAACGGATTTCGTGCCTCGTGACCACTAAGCCCCTATTTTTTTTTTTTTTTAATATATATTTAGACCGATAACACTGATAACGACTGATAACGACTGATAACGACTGATAACGACTGATAACGACTGATAACACTGATAACGACTGATAACACCAAATTTTATAGAGCAATCGACACTTGGTGGGTGATATTATCAGCATCACGCCGGCCTCCTTTCCTTCCCATAATTTTGCCTGATATCCATTTAAGACTGCATCAACCTGAAGCTAAGGTTATTTTTTTTTTGGAAAATACCTAGCGCCGTCATGACCTGAACGCCCGAACTTCGGATCTGTAGAACTTCGACATCGTTATAGTTTATGGCTTTACGGCGTGTTGGCTTGACTGTTTGTTAGATACAAGTTTCTTCTTCTTCTTCTTCTTCTTCTTCTTCTTCTTCTTCTTCTTCTTCTTCTTCTTCTTCTTCTTCTTCTTCTTCTTCTTCTTCTTCTTCTTCTTCTTCTTCTTTTTCTTTTTCTTTTTCTTCTTCTTCTTCTTCTTTTTCTTCTTCTTCAGCATTCTGAGCCCTTTTAGGTTCATTGCAGTAGATATCACCCGCCCTCATTCATCTCTCCTGTTAGCTCTCTCTTTCCAGTTAGTGACACCAAGTGTTTGCAAGTTTGTCTGGATATTATCTCTCCATCGTCTTCTTGGTCTGCCTCGTGATCTACGACTATTCAGCTCCCTGGTGTATACAGT